TATTTATGGACGCGATCCCACCATTCTCGTCTTAAAATTAGGTCCGTCTCTATGGATCGGTTTACTGATAGATTATTCATGGATGCAATCCCACCATTCTCGTCTTAAAATTAGGTCCGTCTCTATGGATCGGTTTACTGATCGGCTATTCATGGACGCAATCCCACCATTCTCATCTAAGAATTATGTCTGTCTATCGATGAGTTACCTAAACACCTATTTGTGGACTCCATCCCACCACTCTCATCTTAGAATTATGACAAACTAAATCGATGGTTTACTGAATTCCAATTCATAGACTCAACCCCACCATTCTGGCCTTAGAATTAGGTCCAAGTATGTAGTATACATGTATTCAGTATACCAAAAGCCTACTCATTGACTCGATTTCACAATTCTGATCTTAGAATAAGGTCCGACTTTATGGATCAGTTACCTAAATGCCTTAATTAGTTACAGTTGACAAAGTTCATTAGTGCTGGTGGTTTTTACTTTGGTATTTTTCTCGCTGTATTTACAATATATTTCTTTAGGGAGTGTGTTATGTATCTGCGGTATGACAGTGGTTTTATGTAATTAAGTTTTAATTGCAATTCAATACAAAAAGACTATTTAACAGAAGCAAGCTTCAATTGCTTTGCCTTCTAGGTCAACCATTGGAAATTAAGGCTTCGTTCACTTGAAAAATCTATTTTATAAAAATCTATTTTACTATTCATGGTATCTTGTGATCACGGTCTGTGCCCTGAATACCCCGCGGCGGAATTACTGGCAGCGCGAGCCAGTTACTTCCAAAGCTGTAATTAATTCTCGGTTGCGCTCGGAGTGATCACAAGATACCGTGAATAGAAAATAGATTTTTAGAAAATGGATTTTTCATGTGAACGGAGTCTTAACTGAATAATTAGAATTTGATTGAATTCGTCATTTCCAAATTTTAGTTTTAATTTTGTCATTTATAAGATGGGAAGTATTAAGGTGAATGCTAAGAGAGATGATACCTTATCTCCAGTTAAATACTGATCATTTGTGTTTAGATCTGTTTTTGCGTTATGTTTACAACAATAATGTTATAAACTAGAAAAGCACTCCGAGAGCGCAGACCTCCGCCAAGGCAGCGATTTTTGATTATTATTGATTGATTATTGATCCGGATCACCACCAAACACTAATCATCTCTTCCTTGGCCCACTTTGACAGTTCCTGAAAATTTCATCAAAATCGGTCCATAACTTTTGTTGATGACAGACAGACAAACGGGTGAAAACATAACCTTGGCGGAGGTAATTACATACGATACCCTTAACAACCTCTATGTACCATTATTGTTACTTTGTAAAAAAAAAATAATAAAAATAAAACAGCACTGATCATAACCTCGCCCAGCTCTGTCAACATTTTTGTACTTTTTATATAAAAATTAAAATAAAAAATACGCTATATAAAAAGTCTTTATTCATGTATCCGATATGAACAGCGCACAGTGATTTTGAGTTCATTAAAATTATGGCTTAGTTTTACGTATGAATGTGGCCTTTGACTAATGTTTGAATGTTATTAGTACTAACAAAATTGCACTGCGGTAAATGGAAATTACATTTAATTTAATGATACATTTTCTACTCAATATCAAGTACATTTTTCACATTGCCTGGTAACAAAGCTTTTGCATACTACAAAAAAGAATGCAGTTTTGTCGTGTTTCGCGTTAAACATTTGAATGTTTCTTGTTACGATATCGTCTAGCTAACTCATCGATTTAACGGAATTGATTTTGTAAATGGCTAAAATATTACAAAATACCAAACAACTTAAAACAATGACCTACGCCAAAACACGTAACGATTTTTTTCTCCTTAACCCAGCATCGCCGCGAAAAATGGCCTCAAATTATTTATTGAGTCATTTGAAATAAATATTCTTCAATTTAGACCCCATTTCCAGAGATTAGATCGATCTACTTTAGACCGACCTAACTCCCTGGGGGTTCACGCGAAATAGCTGTCAGCCGGGCGGACACGAAAGTTAATTACCCCCTTACAGCTTGTAGTAGGCGAGACGGACATTTAAGCCGGATTATCTGACAGTAATCTAGTGAGACTCCCCGCGGGGATAGATCGATCCAAAAGCTCTGGGAATACAGCCTTAGTAAGAAGTTAGACATCATACTCGCTTCCTGAGAAGTGGCAGGTTTAAACTAGAAAGATTGGAGATTGTAAGATGGCGCTGCGAGCAACAGTAAGGAAGGTTCAAAATTATGTCCGTTTAGTTTTTCGCCGGAGATCAGATAAATCTGGTGTTTATTTCTTCATGATTTAAGTTGCTACACTGATGTTAGTAAAGTTCCACTTGGACAAGTAATTTTCCTCACGTTATCTTTTTTAAAACGATTTTCTTAATGTTAAAATTAGACCTATATATTGACAAAGAATGAACACGTTTCCTGCATGTACGCATGGATAACTGCTTATTTCTTGTATCCCATCGATGGTCAAATGAGGGTCGATAGACATGTTAAAAATGCCTCTTGGAAGGGTGTGTAGGATAATATTGCCTGAGGTGTTAAATCAGTCCGCATTTGGAGAACATTCCAAGCCCATGGTATTAGTACATTGTTCCTTTTGGAACAAAACGTAACAGGGGCATTTTAATGTAACATGCTCAACAGAAATCTCACTCCATTTGCAAGAGGTGACTTCAGGGATGCTACTGGCTTCATTGTGACAACGCACTTGCTCACAGCTCTCGTCTGGCAAGCGATTTGTAGCAGAAACACAGGGCTCTGAGGAGGGGACAACCGTCTTTGAGCCCTGATATTAATCCTACTGGGCACCTGTGGCATTACTTGGAATGTGCATTGCAGAGGAAAACCAATTCCCAAATAATCTTGACCAATTCCGCCACGCTCTTTAGGATGAATGGGACAATATCCCACATAACAGAATTGTTACCCATGTTGAAGGCTTGTCGCTCCGTCTACAGGAGATAATTGCAGTACGCGGTAGACGCACACGCTGTTAGGCACGTGACCTTTAATGAGCAGACCCTAATGCTAATTGTTTGTGAATTTGGTGACATTTGATGGCGTCTTTTCAATTTAATAGACATTTCTTTACATCTGTAGAAGTCACAGTGAAACAGTGGATTTGAGGGGGTACCTCTTAATAAATTTTACTAAACGGTATAAAATGTGTATATTTTCACCACTATTTTGTATTTTTTTTTAAACCATAAATCATGTTAGACATAGTATCTGTATTAAAAAGCACTATTTCTAACAATTTACAGCTGTGAGGTGATCATTTGTACATGGAAATGGGGGAGGGACAACCTTTTTGACCAATGTTGTATATATATATATATACAATGTATGTCGTATCGTATCGTGTGTATTCCTGCACATCACAGACTTACAGAAAGGATCCTTCCTCCTGGGTCAGTCAATGCGCAATGCAATGTCTACGTGGAATCTCCAATCAAAATCTACTGACAAAAAATGAATGAAATATTGGTTTTGTTAGTGATGCCTTAAAGGAAGATGAAAGGATTGACTTTGATTCATAATCAGGGGATAGCGCGAACGCAGTCCCCCACAATAAAAAATTGCGCACCCGAGTTACCCCTATTTGGGGTAATCGATCAGGTCAGCCAAACCGTATTGTGCAATGGTGAGGCCTCGCTAATGAAGAACCGCCTTAATGATCACGGTTAACTTCTGTGCCAGGTAAGTATGCTTATTAATGACGTTTGACTGGTGTCTTCTACCATGTTGTCCGCTGCCATAGTGGGCGAAGTGAATTAAGTACACATGCGGTTATTTATGTTTGTAAATTTATCAAAACGTCATATTGCCACGGGTATTTCTGTGTAATGATAAAGACACGCTATTTAGGATTTTGATTTTATAACATAAAAGAAGTGTTTTATGCATTCATTAAATTTTCATTTTTTCAAAACCATATGCCTTATAAGTTGTTATCTTCCGTCATTCAAAGAATAATTATGTGCATTCAAATTGGACAAAATAGTCGTATTAACTTTGGGATATAGCAGTTGGTGTAATTATTGCATTCTCACATACAGTCTTTAATCGAAATGTGTACATTTTCCTTATTGTAGTAATTCTTTTACAATAAAAATCACTTCTGGTGTGGATAATATAAAAGTCTACGTGTTACGGATTTCTATTGGTTAAGCGTCTACAGTAACTGTAGACTTTTGGCCAATCAGAGTTTGGAGTCTACGACCACTGTAGAAGACCAGCCAATCGGGACGCAACTGTGTCACTTGGCGAGAGGGAGAAATAAGCCAGATATGTGGGACCAAAAAAATATCTCGCAACCACAAACATGTATATATATACAGTGTATGTCGTATCGTATCTTGTGTAATCCTGCACATCACAGTCACACATAAAGGATCTTCCCTCCTGGTTAAATCAATGCGGAATGCAATGTCTGCGTGGAATCTCCAACTAAAATCTATTGACTAAAATGAACGAAATATTGGTTTTGTTAGTGATACCTCAGAGGAAGATGAGTGGATTGATTTTGATTTCGTAATCAGGGGATAGCGCGAACGCAGTCCCCCACAATGAAAAATTGCGCACCCGAGTTACCCCTATTTGGGGTAATCGATCAGGTCAGCCAAACCGTATTGTGCAATGGTGAGGCCTCGCTAATAAAGAACCGCCTTAATGATCACGGTTAACTTCTGTGCCAGGTAAGTATGCTTATTAATAACGTTTGATTGGTGTCTTCTACCATGATGTCCGCTGCCATAGTGGGTAAAGTGAATTAAGTAGACTTTCGGTGACTTAAGCTTGTAAATTTATCAAAACGTCATATTGCAACAGGTATTTCAGTATAATGGTGATGACACGCTTTTTAGGATTTTGATTTTATAATATAAATGATGTGTTTTATTCATTCATTAATTTTCATTTTTTCAAAACCATAAGCCTTATAAGTTGTTATCTCCCGGCATACAAGGGGTAATTATGTACATTTAAATTGGAACAAAAATATTCGTATTAACTTGGGGATATAGCAGTTGGTGTAATTATTGCATTCTCTCACACGGTCTTTAATCGGAATGTGTACATTTTCCGAATTGTAGTAATTCTTTTACAATAAAAATCACTTCTAGTGTGGATAAAAGTCTACGCGTTGCGGATTTCTATTGGTTGAGCGTCTACAGTAACTGTAGACTTTTGGCCAATCAGAGTTTGGAGTCTACGATCACTGTAGACAACCAGCCAATTGGGACAAAGATGTGTCACATGGCGAGAGGAAGCCCACAATGCAGAACCAATTAAATACCCCGCGATTACAAGCATGCATGTACAATGTGAGCCGTATCGTATCTTGTGTAATGTTGCACATCACAGTCATTCATAAAGAATCTTTAGTCAAGGCGAAATGCACTGTTTACGTGGAATCTCCGACTAAAATCTATTGACTAAAAATGAATGAGAAATTAGTTTTGTTGGTGATACCTCAGAGGAAGATTAGTGGATTGATTTTGATTTCATAATCAGGGGATAGCGCGAACGCAGTCCCCCACATTAAAAAATTGCGCACCCGAGTTACCCCTATTTGGGGTAATCGATCAGGTCAGCCAAACCGTATTGTGCAATGGTGAGGCCTCGCTAATGAAGAACCGCCTTAATGATCACGGTTAACTTCTGTGCCAGGTAAGTATGCTTATTAATGACGTTTGACTGGTGTCTTTGGCCATGCTGTCCGCTGCCATGGTGGGCGAAGTTAATTAAGCAGACTGGCGGATACTTATGTTTGTAAATTTATCAAAACGTCATATTGCAACAGATATTTCAGTTTAATGTTAATAAGATGACATCCAGGATTTTGATTTCATAGCATAAAAGAAGTGTTTTATGCATTCATTAATTTTTCATTTATTCAAAACCATATGTCATATAAGTTGATATCTTCCGGCATACAAAGGGTAATTATGTGCATTCAAAAACAACGAAAGTCGTCTATTAACTTGGGGATCGAAGTTGATGTGAAGTTAGTGTAATGATTTAAATAAATCAAATAAATATATCGCAATCGATCTTGTTTAATGCTGCACATCACAGTCGTACAGTACATTAAGGCTTTATTAGGCTCTATTCCCATAGATTTTAGATCGATCTATACCCGCGGGGAGTTTCACTAGATTACTTTCAGATAATCCGACTTAAATGTCCGTCCCGCCTACTACAAGCTGTAAGGGGATAATTAACTTTCGTGTTCGCCCGGCTGACAGCTATTTAGCGTGAACCCCCAGGGAGTTAGGTCGATCTAAAGTAGGTCGATCTAATCTATGGAAATGGGGTGTAAGGATCTTCCAACCTGGTACAGTCAAAGCGGATTTTAACGCCTCATTTTTCCACCGTACTCTTATAACCATTCGTTTTCTATATTTTTTTCAAAGCCAGGAGTTTGCCTGTGCATAAACACGTCTACATATGGATCCGGTCAGACGTAGCAAAGTACTTTTTTTTTCAAAAATGATATAATTATCGACAGTGCAACTGTACAAACAAGAAAACCGATAAATGATAACCCAATACTTTCTCCATGTAGTAATACTCTGTGCCTTGACTAGTATATATTAGTCATCCGTACAGTGGCATTGTTTACTTTTTTCACATGAAAGTGATCATTATCATATGTATAATGTATCTACACTTGGCTATTTGTACTATAATGACATCTCTCTCTCTCTCCCTCTCTCTCATATTTCCGTAGCATACGGTAGCGGTATAACTACGTCATTCATATTACCGCCTGTGAGTCAAGCACAGACTTAAGGCTCCTCACTTGGGAGCATGTGACCGTGAACGAAACCCAGGGTCAACAACACACCTGACACAAAGGGGGTCAACAGCGCACGAGACGCGGAAGTCGCAGCTACAGTAGCAGGTGTGTGCAGGTGAAGAAGATCTAGCCTTGAGGGTGGAGAGTTTGGTGTTCTAGTTTTAAGTATTTTATCTCGCCCCCGTGTGCTGGCAATTTCATTCTTCGACTGAGTACGCCGGCTGTCTAGTCCTGCCGACGCTCACCTGTTAACGCTTAGGTAAGACATATAAGACCCTATAGGCTATAAGCCTTGGTCATTTTGTACAGAGCCTATGAAGATTGAGGTGTACTTCAGAGCAGTTGAGTAACAAAAATGGTATCAATCACACCGGATTCTGAGCAGGTTTAAAAGTCGATCTAGAGCGTTTGCTAGCATGGTCGTTTATTCATGATCCAGTTTTGTGTGTGACCCAGATTCGTTTTGCCAATAACAAACATAATAGGTTAACGTAACGCATGGTAAGGCAGTCTGATGGGTGAAACGTGGTATATAAGGTCTGGTGCAGTTCGTTTGAGAGCAAATACATTAGTCAGTCAAAAATATAGCAGGTTGCATTACAACTTTGAAACATAATTATGATAATATATAAAATAAATAAATAAATAAATGACCAATCGACCAGTAAGCAATCGATCTCTTTATGCTCATTGTGATGAATTCCTATATCACTCGCCACGAATTGCACAGCTATACGCGACGTGGGCGCTGCAGTTTTAATGATAATGATCCATCCAGTGTGTAATGAAAAGATTATAAAAGGCATAAACATAGATTTCCATACGCTAAAGACGTCTGTTCCTGTCATTTGATCTTATCAGTATGCACAATAATGTTCAACTTTCTTGCCTATCGAAACTTACATCTTATTTGTCTTCTTTTCGCAAAAACACCTCTAACGACGTCTGCTTGGCTATAGTGTTAGAAACTAGCTAGTGATACAGAGAAATAGAGATAACTAGATGATGATTAAAAGTCGTCGTTATGTTTTCTTTCATTACAATCGCAAGTTTGAGACCATTTTCCGTGTTTATATCATCATACTAAAATCGCATTATTTTATATATAATTATGGGCCTTAAGAGCACACTCTGCCTCCGCTGGTCTGGTCATGAAACGAACGAGTCACACCGCCCTGGAGTTATTATTTTGTACTTTTTTCATCATGGACAGTATGAGTAATGTTTCACTGTAACGGGGGAGGCAGAATTTTGGCAATTACCACCCTCTTTCTAAATAGCTTATGCTATCAACAATGTTAACAATAACCTTACATTGGGGAACGAAAGCAGCTAATTACAGGACATACGTACATGAGTCATATGTACCTTGCAGGAAACAAAAAAGGAAACGTTTACTCCCCTTTCTTGTCACTTTAGATTGAATTCGGACTCTAAAATTGTCATCGTTTTCTATTTCAGAGCAAGGACACGATGCACCTCTTCATACAGATAACAATAGTGGTGGCGGTAGTCACACTGGACTCGCCTGTCCAGTCATGTGACCCCAAGCCAATGATCAGACGCCACGAGGGGACCAGGAAATGCATGTACAAGGACACACGGGGGATCAAGACAATCGGGATAGGTTTTAACCTCCAGAATCAGGGTGCGCAGCAGGCCTTAGCGTCCGTCGGAGCAGATTTTAACAAGATTTTCAACGGTGCTTCAACGCCCGTAGATCAGACATGCGACTGCAGCAAAGTCGTCTGCCTGAATGACACCCAGATTGAGGGTCTTTTTAATTATTCAGTCAAACAGGCACTAATGGACGCCTCCAGTCTGATGTCTAACTTCCCAAGCTTGTGCTGTCCTGTCCAGAACGCAGTGGTTGACATGGCGTACAATTTGGGCGGGACGAAACTAGCCACTTTCACGGTTTTCCTCGGGTACTTCCGGGTCAACAACTGGCAGGGCGCCGCGGACGACTTAATGCTGACCAAGTACTGCCAGGACTACGACACGGCCTCTAGGTGCTTGGAGTTGTCAGGACACATCCGTCTGGGCTGCCCGTGTTTCGGCAGCTACCCCAGCCAGTGCCAGATTTCCAGTGCCTGCTGTGGCCTGAACACCAAATGCTGCTCCTACACGATGCCGTTTCTCGGCTACGTCAAGAAGAACCTGACCGAGAGTTGGTGCTGCCCCCTAGCGGACGGCGCGTGCTGTGCCCCGGATCAGCACTGCTGTCCCAAGGATTTCCCAGTCTGTTGTGGCGCCCCGGACCAGCACTGCTGCAAGCTGGACTTTCCCATCTGTTGTCCTGACAACCGGTGTTGCCCCACCAACTACCCTGTGTGTGGCAGTGGGGGATACTGTAAGGCGCGGGACGGGAGCGGCCAGGTCCTGGGACTGCTTAGAGCGCCCTCTAAAGTCGGTCTACAGAAGCAGACCGAGAAGAAAAAGTTTAACTTCATTGAGACCAACGAAGTGAAATAGAAACGGACAGAGATGATACTCGCATTATGTGTATATATATATTGTTAAAAAGAACTGCTTTTTGTTTATTCTGAAAACAAATATACTCTTTTCAAGTCTAGGGCACAAATTGAATGTGCTGGTCACAATTGCATCGTTTATATCATATATGCCCGCGGTGTTCATTAAAATTTGGATTTAAAAAATAGAAATTGTCCGGCGAAATCAAATTACCACGGGGTTATATTTTTTAAAATGTAGAGTAGCCTACAAAATCTAGTGTAAAGTGAGCTTTACAAAACTGTTCGAGGTCATGATTTAAACGTTGGACGTTAGCGTTATAAAGAAATTAACGACAGAAGCGAAAAAAAAAAAAAAAAACAATCATGTTTACAATTCTTCAGCAATCGCCGTGACAGTGATTTGTAATCATACATGCTTACATTTTATTATTTCAACAATATCAGATCTAGAATCTTGGTAATATGCGAAACCTTGCACTTTCTACGTATATCTGTTTTACTTAAGATTAATCATTTGAATGATATTAAGATAGATATTTAAGTGGAATTTGTTTTTATAAGATATGTGATATCGTAAGTCAGGGATGAGACCCTATCTGCATATTACAGTTAAAACATTCCTGATTTAGTGTTACGCTGCATATAGCGCAAATTAAAATCGCAAACATGTCAAAATTTGTTAAATCTTGTTGAACATGAACATATTGAAGTAAAGGTCGAAATATATAGCTTCAAATGGCTTTTGGTTTTCGTATTATTTCATGATAAACAATCACGTTGTCTTTTCTCGGAAAGTTTTAAGATTTGATTTTATTTTGCATAAACATTAAAGAAAAATCGGAGCAAGCTGTTTGTGGTTCGCGTTGGGTTAAAAAGCTTACTTTGTAATTGTTCATATAATGTCCCTTCTGCTTACCGGTTGATCAAGTGACTTGATATAGACAGAACACAACATTTATCAAATTTATATTATAATTCATTATAAAAATTGAAGTCTCAATCACTTCTTTAAAATAACGCCACCTTTACTTCATAGACCTAGTGTGTAAAGATTCTATACAAACAGATGAAATATTATCAGGGATCATTGTTTCCACTGGCGCATTTATGAAATCGTCACTAAAACGAGTGTTCCTCTAATTTATTTAATTTCGTGTATTATCAACATTCTGGTGATATTTTCTTAGTCCCTATCCAGAACAATGTCTTACATTTAGCACTTGAAAAAGAAATCTCTTTTGCAGTTTACACGATCATATTTGTCTGTGAAAATGAAAATGTTCCTTGCACGAGACGATTCAGTGACTTATTGAGAATCACGTAACTTGTGTGTGTTACACCCAGAATTGCCGACATAACACAACAGATCCATCCTTTGCCTTAAAACCGATGTTTTATCATCAATTCTCACACTCTGCAAGCATCCCTATAAAAGATGCAGTTCATCACAAATGGTTCACCTTTTGGGTAAATCAGTTTGCTAAATGTGAAATGCAGTTTTAATAATTCCTTCTAAAACGCGACTCTGTATCCTTTCCTCCTCATTTACTACTGAATCCATTTAAAGCAGTCCATATAAAAAGCGTATCATTTGATGTACTTTTCCATGAATTTTTTGTGGAATTCTGATCGTAAGGAGTCATTGATAAAGCCACGTTTGCTCTTGTCCTCTTCGCCTCTCGCACAGTTTTTGAATACGACATCATCATCCCATCTGGAATGGAAACAGTGGATTAACACTGATTAAATTTTTAAAGTCAAAGAAGTAATTAACACATTATCCACCTGTTTGGTTGATATAGATATCCGATTCACCTTATTAGTGACATATTTTAAACCTAGGTGCAATTTCACAATTTAAACAAGAAAAGAATTGCAGTTTTCATTATTGCTAACAAAGAATTCAAAGATGACTAATTTAGCAAATGTTATTTACTAGAGCAGTAGAAAGTGGAAGTTATCCCATTTGTATTATAAAATTTATCAATGCACACTTTAAAGGGGGTGAGCTACACTTGCATCAGTGTGATCAATACACAGCTGATAACCCACACTTCTCTCTTTAAAACTTTAAGTGATCAAATGCACAGAAAATGATTGCAAATCACTAGAAATAATTATTTAATTCATTTTTAGACCCCAGAAAGTGAGGTTCTCTTTTCAGAGGTAACTGGTGGTGAACAAACCTTCTTTTGACTTTGAAGTCTGTCTTGGCAGTGTCCGCCTGGTTATGGAGTAGAGGATTTCCCTTGATGATGTTCTCCATCCTGATGCGCTCCTCTTCTGCTTTACGCTCAGCTTCCTGGTATAGTAACATACACAGGTCAAAGGTCACACCATGCATATCATGTTTCACAATATATTAATCAGTAAAAACAATACCTGTACTTTAATTTTGTACTTTCATTCATGTGATATTTCATAATATTTAAAAACTAAAATAATTCATCAATTTTCATCAACGCACTGTATGCACTAGGTTGTTAATTAAGCAAAAGCTTAAAGTAGTGATTTCTAATCGCAATTAACTGCATTCGACATATATCCTTTTATTTCTGCAGTTGAAAATAATCAATATTTAATGTCCCTTGATCTTAGAAAGACTTGCCTTCTTGGCCGCCTCTGAGGCTCTTTCTTTCTTTATCTTCTGGAGTTCAGCTAACAGTGCTGCTGTATCATCCTCGTCATCACTGCTGTCTTCTTCCTCATCCTGAAATATTGATAACAGCAATTACAGACAAAGTTTTAAAGTAGTTTTTGTCAACAGGCTCCATCTCTCTCTCTAAACAAGCACATTTCTGATCTTTTTGACTCAGTTTCTATGTATTATACTTCTTTTTAGTTCACTGTTGAGACAGTGAAATACTTTCTGATGATATATATCTCATTTATATTATATTTAAATGACTGAATTAATGCTTTTATCACTGAAATAACCTCCGTTGTGATTTAATATAACATTTCAAAATGAAAGAATTGCAGTCATAGAGTGGTTTTTCTATAAAACAAGAATAAGTTTAATATATCGAACTCACATCATCATCGTCAATGGGATCATCTGCATCCAGGTTAGCTGCTGGGATCTGATCTAGTCTTGGTCTCTTACTGCTACTGCTATCTGTATATACAAATAGATACCCTTGTTATCCACATGATATTCTGATGAGGAGGATATATTAGATTTTCAATAAGTTATTACATGGTAAGATGTGTGTAGTGTGTTGTGTCATGATAAGGGGTGCTCAGTGTTTTAGTAAGACTTTTGAAAACAAAGTTTATTTTGATCCAATTTTTTGCAAACTAAGTTCAGTTTTTAAAATGCTCACAACTAAAACGATATCTGACCAACCGATAAAAATATATTGAAATATTTCATTTAACAATTCCCAATGTCATCCTATCAGTTTCTTATATCACCTTCCTCATCACCATCATTATTATAGGTTCATACACTTTTTTAAAATTAAATATATTTTACATGTTCCTCACCTCTCCCCCTATCTCTGTCTCTCTTTTCCCGCGCTGCTCTCTCCCTCTCCTCCAAATGGCTGCGGAAATCACGGCTGCGCAGGTCATCAGCTGTGTTCTGGCCATCTTGTCTGAAATACAGCATGATGTGTATCAACACAATCACTGTCACAACTAACACACTGACTTTTCCATTAAAGAAGAGGGAAGAGGGGACAGAACATTTCACCTATTACAAAGTTACTGGCACAAATTACAAAACACATTGTGCTTTATTCCTTTCAGGATCGCGGAAAGTACACAGAAGTGAACTAAATATTCCTTTAACAAAGTTATTGCCACAAGCAGCACTTAAAAACTGCCTTCTTAAAAATGTTTCCTAATACCTATAGAACAATCACTCACTTCTTTAGTTACATCTAAATGTATATGATGATGTCTCAACTACCACAATTTACAATATGTACCACATAATGTACTCAAAGTTACTGAAGGAACTGAAGGGAATTTTAATAGCTAAAATGGATCATCTTTCATCTATTTGTATGTGTGTATACATAATATAAAAGTTAAAATTATGCAATCAGTTTTTTAATGTTTTTAATCAGTAAAAATGATTAGTACAATTCATGAATTTTGTTGTCAACAGCACAGCTGCTTTTTTTGATACTGGTATTAAATTATTTCTAATAGGAAACAAGAAAACAAATCCAATATTTTAACAAGATGATTAAATATTTCAACCAAGCTACACCTTACCTGTACTTGAGTTTAGTATGTGATGGTAAATCTCTGCTGGAATACTGTTTGGACAAAGCACCGAGATCCCTTTCTCCTTTCCCAGTCCCTCCCCGCGCTGGCTCAAATGTTGGACGTGCAGCTGTAGTCATCTCTCTGCTGGTCTACTGCAGTGTGAAACAGCTAAGCTGCAGTTATGTGAACCAGCTATGGGAAGCAGTCTTAAGTGTTCTGAAATAAGAGAAAATAGACACTAAGTTTAACGCACATCAGATCCTATACCAAGAACGTTGGATTAGAGATATAGAAGGACTGTAGTCATCCAGAGCTGTGCTGGTCTACTGTGATGTGACACAACATGTGTCAAACAGTCCCAAGTATTCGGAAATAGAGAAAATATACAATAAGTTTAAAGCAAGGCAAGAAAATCAGATCATATACCAAGAATTCTGGATTAGAGATGTTGTAATCAGAGTTTTTTCCTTCCTCCACCTGGTCTGCTCATCATGTGCCAAGATAGGCCCCAACAGGTGAGTGAGTCGGGTCAGGTGGGGAGAGCACGCCCCCTACTGACGATTGTCAATATTGTGACATCATACCCGTCGCTGTGGCATTGTCTAAGATCTCCCACTCCGATTCGGACGTGCTACGATCGAGGATCTCTACAATTCTCACAAAGCCTAACAACAGCCACAGTGATCACTCTCCAATTCAGTAAGTAGACACCGCGAATACTTTAGAGAACTAAAAGAGCTGAGCCTAATTAGCTTTCAAGATCTCATAAGATAGTAACATAAAGTTTTACATGGAGCATTCAAGTGATGAATGGAAGTGATGAAGTAATGAAAAAGATGAAAATCCTGGAGGCACATCCTGAATACTTTCACCAATGATACTAGGGCAACAGACTGACAATATTTTACCCTTGGAAAGATACTTCTAGAAACCTTCCTGGTTTAAAGATTATTATTCAGTTCAGAACGTGAACTTGAACGTAATCCAGAAATAAAGAAGAGCCATTTCATTTTTCAGACTTCAACTTCTACACATTCAAGTTAAGGGCAATCAAGCAACAACGATGTTTTACGACGAAGGAGAAAAACCGCAAAGTTATCGCCTTTAGTTACACAATAAATTAAATACATATAAAAAGTATATAACTTTGGTATGTTTTACATCCCTTACCGTACACAAAAAGGCCCAATCCACGCCAAATCAATACAATATTTCGAAAAATCCTTCTCACATGAACATAACGGAAGTTACTTCGCTACCATACTGAACATAATGCGCATGCGTCATGTATTATACTCTCAATTCCAAATAAATATACTTATTTTATACTATATGCAGCCTTAGATTAGCATATGTATGTGACTGAGAAAATATTCACAAAAAAATAATTATTTTACCCATATGTGAATGCGTATGATTATTCCGCCTATGTTACATACAGGGCATTTTCTATTCATTCACAACAGGAGTTGGAGGCTAAAGTTTAGAGGCTAAACTCGAATGAACACAAAATGTGAAAGGAGGCCGACTTCGTTTGTACTCGACCCGTGATTTTTCACGCTTCTCTACCGAGATGAGGACTTACCAGTTACTTTTTTGTTGCAGTCTATACATCAGCCTCTTAGGAGGCACGAAATCAAACCTTAACTTATATATGGATAGAGAAGAGACGCGAAAACTTCTCGGTAAGTCCGATAATTTATGATTTACATCATTTGATAGAACGAGATCTAGCCTAGACTAGAGAGAGGAATATAGTATATGCCAAACTGTACGTGTACAAGAGATGTGCGACTGCTATAGCAGTGTAATTTGTCTTCAAGTTACTTGTATACTCGCAGAAACATAACCCATCTCCTATTTCAAACTATTTGGGACTTGCAGTCCTTTGAGGTTTGCGTACTACACTTGTTTATGATATTATATTTATTATTTATATAACAATCAGCGGTATAGATCTTTTCCATCAGTGTATCACACCTTTACTTTGGGACAGACTTTGAGGCAGGTTTAGGGATGGGAAGCTTATATCCTTTGGATTGGTCGGCATTGTGACTGGGGTTGATATTATTATTTTTGATTGGTATGTCTACTTTTAAAGATATCTCCGACAGCTTCTATGAAAATGTGTCTTGTGCCCCATGCCCTTATAAAGCATTTTTTTTCACTTATTGAAGAGAAGACGTGTTTTAGGTAAACACCCGTGATTTCAGGGAGGAGTAGAATTTTGGATCTTCACCTCCTATATGATAACATGTTATAATACTGCACACAAATATATATTTGATGGCCAGTGGTTCAAGGGACAGCATATGACGTCTGTTTTGTCAGTGTGACTAATGCTATTCTGCCGCATAAGGTACTGGTCTTATGCCTGTGGCCAGAAAAATTTTGTTTGGACCATTAGTTCTTCAAAATACTAGTACTATAGTACTAGTATGTGAATTCAGTTGTCTAACAGGCAAAAGAGCTTCTGATTTTATTTATATCAAAATTAGATAATATTTTACTGAAATGTAGCTGTTACATTGTGACTCTAAATTAACAAAATTTTTTCACCAAATCAATGTCTTGCTATTACTAATATTAATGAAATAGGGGAAAATGTCCATTTGTAAAATGTTTATTTGGACCAGTGAACCCTGATTTGGTCCAGTACATTTTAGGAACTTGGTGGTGGTTAATAATCTGCAAAATTTATGGCACTGACTGCAGTAGTTTTTACAAAATCATCTATGTTCTAAAAGTCCTTTCCTTTGGGTAAAATATACACATCCGTTTATTGGGGCTAATTTGTGACTTTTGTGGCACAAAACCTACAACTATGTACCATATGTTTTTGAGCAGTCTTTTAATATGGCCAAAATTTCCTATTTTTTAAAAAAATATTGTAGGAATATTAGTTCTGTGTTGTGAATATCAGCAGTACCACATACTGTTTCAGTGGGAAAACTCAGTTTCTACCTCAGCCCTGTATTGTTGCACTTACTTTGATGTACTTGATAACTTGTACTGATAGTGCTGCAGATTTCAGGTTGATGTGCCGAATGACCTGAGGTATGTGTGTCATCTGGCATGACACTTTGTCTGCTGGCACTAATTGATACTCTCAAAGGGGAGGCTGTAATCATATATACTTGATTATGGCTGTCTGTCTTATAGCCAGTAACCATATGTTACAAAACTGTATGTATAATAATGCACGCTACTGCTGGTTGTGGATGTTCTTGATTATATAGCTGGTTCAAAATTTTATCAGTCCTCTCATCTTTGTCCACCCTCTCTCTCTCTCTCTCTCTCTCTCTCTCTCGTTATTCACATAGTTTTAAAACAAATCATTCCCTTCCTTCATCTCTTTTTTTTTTACACATAATGATACAAAGGCACACATACACAATTTCCCTCTCTTAGAGATCCCTCTTTTCTGAGATTATCTTGGTTATTTCAATTCAGTTCCAGAAGAAGATAACACACACAGAATGATTGATCCATCTGGAATTGTCTCTAGTTTATCACATTAAAGGATGGAAAAAGGGGCAAAATCATGAGTCATTCTACCAATTGATTTCATATCATGCAAAGATATCTCTGGGATATTGTTCTATGTACAGTTTTTGATGCTTTATTTTAGCATGTATTCATTTACCACAAGACCTAAAATAAGACAGAGAAATGATTGATTCATTTATCCATGGCATGTCACATATAATGAAAATGACAGGAATTATTATATTTTTGCTTAGTTTTGTACTATGGAAATTCCTATATAAGACATTCTCAATTTTGACGTATTCCAATACGGTAGTGTACTTCTTGTGAAGAACCTTAGTCCCTTTATTGACGGAATTAGTTACTTATCTTGCTCAATAGTAACAGTAATTGCCCAGATTCTGGCAAAGGCAAACATGAAATTGGCCAAGCTCAGTACAGTTAACTGTTATTTGTATGTAAAGAACAATGATTTGTATGAAAGCCTCCATCCATCTACTTATAACCACTACAAATTGAAATGCAAAAACCAAGTCTTGCCAAGTAAAGTCGAGGGATACTGTCATACATACTTCTTATTGACTTAAAATGAATCTAGAATCCAAGAACAACAGAGGCCGTGACTAGACTAGGTCATGCAGCACTTATTTCTCCTCAGTCAAATTAGCCTGATTACCATTACTGTTATTCATAAAATAAGCCACATTAGGCTCATTGTTGTTGACACACATGAGATTAGCAGTAGCCTCTCGAGTTCCAGCATGAAACAATTGCCAGGTAATCCTGCTCCATTCAACCAGGTAGCCTGCCTCCCAACAGCTGACATAACTACAGGTACAGTTAGACCACGTTAGACCACGCCACACACACACTAACACATCATGTTGTTGTTTGGGAGATTGTTCTGCCGTGAAATGAGTGACTTCCCAAGTCTTAATGCTTCATCACAGCTCTTTCAACAAAGGATTAACACTGATTGGTCCCCTGTTGTTCAGCGCCATTGCCCCAGGGGAGAAACTGTAAGTCTGTGTTAGTCATCCATGTCAGGGGTATGTTTATGAAAATGGGGCCAAGAATAGGTATGATTTACCCCCTGTTAAGAGCACCAATGCCCTAGAGGGAGAGCTTTGAATCTAGATCAGTAGTCCAGATTAGGGGCCTTATTCATAGAAATAAAACCAAGATTTCCCTGTGCAGATCTCCTGTGCCCAAAGGGAAGAATGATAGAAAGCCTGTATTGGTAATCCATGATGGGGCCACCATTGAATGAACCAAGGCAGTGGTCATGTATAACTGCATGTATAATGGGGACTACTGTGTTTTGATTCAGTGGGTCTGTAAAAGGGTCTGTTAACCACTCCCTCCCCCCCATCCTAATCCCCCCCTTTCTCTTGTACTGCCAAGAGCTTAAGTCAGGTGATTTTACCCCTCATTTAGCAGGTAACTTGGGTGAAAAATTCTTGACAGAACTGTGTAGAAAAGAATGTAATCTTGACTGAAATTACGGAATTGAAAAGCAATTAGAGATGGGTATTATAACATGCTATTTGACTTGTTATGCAGTCGTGAAGCAAACTTGTTTCAAGAGGCAGCTCTCATGCGTTTTTTTATCCTTTGCTACAGTTAACGGTGATTTTATAAACTGAGCAGTCTAGATGAAGCTACTATTTAACTACTCAGGGATTTCTTTGTTCACTATGAAAAAAAAAGCAAAATTAAAAAAAAAACAAATATGAAAAAAGATACTAGTACTAGTACTGTAAGTGATTGACAAGTTAAAATACTGAACCATAAAAAACAAAGCAATATATTATTTTGTCCAGAGAAATGAAAAAAAACACAAGATATCAGATAAGGATATAAAACTGAAAATAAGATGGGCGTGAAAAATAAAAAAAAATTGTCTCTGACAACTGGATGTATACACATCATGTGGTTCATGCACAATTAAATTCTTTGTGATAACTCTGTCCCTACCCTAATGTTTTCTTGTTTTTAACGAGGATATCACCTACTTTTAAGCTGTGATCATGCAAGCAAAACTACCCGAGAAAAAAATATCTGTGAATATCTGTTGAAAATTTGATCTTTGTGACCTTTGCATGAGGTAGTCTAATGTCCTTGTGGTCACACTGATGCGACAGTGGGATAAAGAGACAATTTACAGTGCATTAAATCAACTGAGAACATCATTAATTTGTGTGCTAGGTTAATTGGGGTCTTCACTATGTGATATTGAAGATGCTACAGCGCATTCAGATTTATAGTAGCTGGGTCGGTCAAACACGGTGGAATCAGCTTAATCAGCACCATAGTTAACTACCCCTACTTAGCTACTTGAGGAGAGGTGTCAGATAAGCTGATTCCACTGATTGTACCCTCGCAGAGTTGGACCAACCCATCTTGTACGATGTGTAAATCTGGATGGGGTCTAAATTCTTCTTCCATAATTAGTCATTATTTAGTTTAGAAATTTGAAAAAAAAAGTTTTACTGCTCATGTGAACAAATGCAATGAAAACTGGCAAAAAAAAGGGAGGGGATTTCATGTCTTGAACAGTGACATGACTTCATATGAGAATGCACATTTTTTATGAGTAACTAGATATGATAAATCTATAGAAATGTGAATACTGGTATGAGCGAGGCATTGGGAAATTTCAAATTATCTCAGTATCCTATTGTTAATAACAAATTATATGCTAGATCAACACATACTTTCAGTCCTGCCTTTTACAAAGCATGACAGTTGGATGTTCCAGCACACAAGGATTAGAGATGATGGGGCGCAGTACAAAAGGCCTGGGTATTTGCCGAGTGTTGCGCCTCGCTGCCTACCCAGTTATATTCCCTCTCCTCTCTGTGTATGGGGTTCAGGGTCAGTGCAGAGAGCAGATGAAGACATAGGGAGAATGTCACACCTGGGTGATCTTATATGACAGGGGCATTTGGGGTTCTCTTTATTACTGACAGCAAAAAAGTCAGGGAAAGAGATTTTAAAAATTGCGAGCTGAAATGGATGGATTTGAGGTTGTCATGCTAGGGCAGTGCTCTCTCCTCTCTCTTTCTCTCTCTCTCTCTCTCTCTCTCTCTCTCTCTCTCTCTCTCTCTCTGGAAGTTGAAGCAGTTTATTGTCTTTATTGTTTTTTGTGTGCATGAATATAAGATTTTATCATCATGACTTTAATTTGGAAGTT